CGTTGGAAAGGTCTCACAAGATGCACCCCTTTATCCAGGAAAAACCCCTGAGTCGATACACATCACTGTTACCGAGATATGACCACCTTCCCCTGTTATTTCAATCTCCCGTTGCTCCGGGGCTAAACCACCCACCACCACCAAACTTCACTGGCTTACTCTCCACCTCCACCCGCTTCCAATGACCCATCATCTGATACCCTAGCCCACTCCCTTCTGGAGATCCCCAGTACCCACCCTTCCATACCCCCACAATACCCATACACTTCCTAGGCCCCTTTTTCCCCTACAAACCTCCCTTAAAGTCCTTCCCCGGGCTTTTTTGGATTGCCCACGCCAACCCATCCGAGGCAATGGGCCTCCACGAACCTAGCGCACCATCCAAACCCTTCTGGCCCACACTTAAGCACTCCTAACTAACCCCTAACCCCTAACTAACCCTAACCCCTCAGATTAAACCCCTTAATATGGCTGCTACAGAGAACCAGGCCACTGGGAGACCGGAAAAACTTTAACTCTGAAACTGATACCCACTGGGAGACCATAAAAACTTTATTCTGAAACTGATGCCCACTGGTAGACCATAAAAACTCAGTCAAATTTTCAACATTTTTACCAACCACTGGTAGACCATAAAACCTTTTTTCTATTAGGGCTTGGTGGAACCTGACTTTTTTAAAGCTCTATTGAGTCCTAAAACAGAGGTGGGATACTTTAAATGGCCAATACTGGAAACCAGCCTCAACCAGTGGCTCTATGGGGGTGGGAACCCTTAGGTTTGGCTCGTCTATGAAGCTAAGTAAGGCTGGCCCAGGTCAGTGACTCGATGGGAGACCATGCTGCCTTGCCAGGAGTTCAAAACTTTTCAAGCAAACCGTTATTTCAAAACTGAACTATGGATACAGTGAAAAGAAGTTCATACTGTAGGACCTAGTAGAAGGCTTAAGACAGCAAATAGGAGGTCTAAATGTACTCGGTTATATATTCTACTAATTACTTTAGAAGTCCTGTATTGGCTTCCAGCTTCAGCCAGTGTATACAAACCTAAGAGAATCCTTGGTCTGGTCTAATGTCAGAAACTAAGCAATGTGCGGCTTGGTCAGGACTTATATTGAAAACTAACTGACATTAAATGTTGCAATTAGGTTTTGAACCTAATCTTTACTTTGAAATAAAAATAACTTCGTTTCAAAATGAAGAACTTTACAAAAGTCAGCCTCTGTTGGGTCCTATGAGAGAGGTGGGATGCTTTAAATGGCCAATACTGGAAGCCAGCCTCAACCAGTGGCTCTAGGAGCGTGGAAACCCTTAGGCTAGGCTCATCTATGAAGCCAATAATGCTGGCCCAGGTCAGTGACCGGTTGGGAGACCATGCTGCCTTGCAAGTGTAACCCGCATTTTAAGTGGTTAACATAGTTTACACCTAAAACCTTCTGGCAAACGAAGGGTTAATCTTGCTGAGCGCTGTAAAGAATTAGCTGTAACAAGGCGATAAATGGCGAGTAAACCAGCAGTTTCTATAAATAATATACACAATGAGAGATTGGACCTTTTTGTCTTAGATGGGTCTTTGATTTTTGTATTTTATAATTTATTTTTGTAGCACTCTGTTCCATGTTGAGTATATAAATAAAGCTATATAAATAATAAACGTTTGATATAATGTATGTCTTTATATTAGTAATTCCTTTTACACATAATTTGGTAATAAATTAATTTAAACAACAAAAAATCTGAGGAGCCACTTGGGAGCCAAAAGAGCTGGCTCTTTTTAGTGAGCCGAGCCAAAAGAACCGGCTCTCTAAAAAGAGCCAGAATTCCCATCACTGAGAGCTGGTTGAGGCAATCCAACAGACATTCTAGAACATTCCAGAGGTACATTTTCATTTGTTTTGTGAAACGTGCAATTGAATGTGTTTGTGAACTGGAAAAAAGAGACAATGCTTACTGAATATTGGTGAAAAAGGTGTATTTTCATTTAAATATGTTGTTTACATATACATATATATGCAGTAAGAGTTACCCTGTAAAAGTTAACCTGTAAAAGAAAGAGAAGTTCATTAAGTTAATTGTATGAAAATGTGTATAAACCTGCTAAACTTACCTGTTGATGTTCTGAACCTGAAAAAGAAAAAAGTATTTTTTTTCACAGTAGTTACTGTGAAAGCTATGTATATTCATTTGTTGTTAAGTGAAGAAAGTGCTTGTGAATAACATTGAAATAAGAAGTTATATAGCCACCTAGGCTTAAGTGTAGAGAAAGTGTTACAGTACCAGTTTTGTTTAAACAGGTCAGGTTTTTTTTTTGAGGATCATCAGAACCTTGGAATCAGAGCCTAGTTGGATCTTCCGAGAAGTTGATGGCGAGCCACCCACGAATAGAACGGTTTTCTATGACCATCGTCTTCCCTACGGACTGGTGAACTAACAAAAACACAAGACTAAAAGACTCTTTATTCTCTATTTCCTTTTGTGAACAAGCATGAGTATTTAAGTTAATTGTTTTGTTATTTATTTGTATTTTTGGTTGTTTATTTTCCCTGTTGATAAACAGTCATTTCTGTTATTACGGTGAAAACAAAGGGTTGAAATCTGTCTAAACTACATCAAACTAAAATGGAGAAATAATTCTAGCTAAGCTTCATACCAAAGTAACAAATCCTAAGCAGTAATAATCCAACTAAACTAAACAGATAATCTAGCACTAAACCCAAAGATTTAATCCTTAACTAAATCAAAGATAACTAAACCTTAAACCCTTTAAACTAGAACACAAATAGGACCAAATTCGGGGACAAATAGGACAAATAGAACTCAGGGACAGAAGGAAAAGTGGTTCAATTATTGAATGTTTTCTTTATTTTGTGTTTGTATATACTTTTGTCATTCAGTAAAGTGACTCTTTTTATTTATAACACTACTCCTGTCTCCTGTGTATGCTGTCACACACCTTCCACCTTCTCAACGAACCTGGTTGTACTGGTCCATAGCCTTATTGCAACTTCAGCTTTTGCATCTAGTTTGCAGTGTTGCTGCTGTAGTTCATTAGTGGACTAAAAGGGGTTACACAAGCAGAGTTCAAAGCTTTTCAAGCAAACCTTTATTTTGAAACTAAACTATGGATACAGTGAAAAGAAGTTCATTCTGTGGGACTAAGCAGAAGGCTTAAGACAGCAAATAGGAATTCTGTGTGGACTGAATTACTTTAGAAGACCTGTTTTGGCTGCCAGCTTCACACACACACACACACTTTCTAAGACGCTCAACCTTCTGGGTTGCGGGGCGAGCTGGAGCCTATAGCTTCAAGCAGTGTATCAAATCTATGAGAACCCTTTCAGAACTAAGAAATGTGGGGCTTAGTCAGGGCTTGTAATGAAAACTAACTGACATTTGAATTTGCAATCAGGTGTTCAACCTTACAAATTAAAGATATCAATGTTAAGTGAAGAGAACTGTTAGGCCAAATATTTTTGATACTTTTTGATTCTGCATGATTGAATTCGGTACTGGACATTTCAACTTCTATGCAAAACTTAATGACCCTACTTCTATCAGTGCAGGAAATTTATTACTCTCTTTAATTAGTTTCTCCGGCTTCTTTTTCATTTCTCTCCTGGAGAAAGAAAAAGTATGTAAGTGAAGTCATTTGTCACAGATCAGGTCATCACTAGCCATCCACCCTGAAGTTGTGTGTTAATTAAAAGTGACCTAGGGTTAACCCAATATTTAGACCTACCTTCGATCATCTTCTGTAGTGGGAGAGCTCATTTTCATGGTTTCAAATTTCTCTGAGCTGAGGAGAAAGCATTTTACATGCATGCAGTAAATTTAATACGCAAAGCCACATGTATGCACATATGTTTAATGGTTAGGCATATACTCTCAAGGTTTTTTGCATGAAACCAAGTGCAATAATAGGCCAACTTAAATTAAATTTCCTTAATTCCCAAATTAAACTCAACTGAGGTTTAACAATCAAACCTGCGCTGTATTTCATTATGAAAACCAGCAGATGGTGACAACGCTACATTGTAAGGTGTAAAAAGACCTCTGTTCCTGTGCATCAGGGAGTGGACAAAATAACGAAAACAGCACATGTAAATCCCAACCACCTGCATATGTCAACTTTAGAAGTGCCTAGATAATCAGCATTTTGACAGTGCCAGTTTTCAATACAACTAGAGACAAATAATGACCATAGAAATTTACCATAGAATTTACTCTGTGACCCAGCCTTAACTAAACCAGTTTCACAACCCTGCTGGAAAGAAACAGCATCACCCAGCATAGCTAGTCACCAGCAAAACCAGCATATGTTGTGTTTCAGATACCGGCATGCTGGTCAACAGCAACTGGAGTCATTAGGCTGATCACCAGCAAAATCAACGCATGTTGTGTTTTGGATGCTGATATGCTGTGTGTAGCTAAATCAACATCAGACCAGCAAAATCCATGGAAAGCATACTGGTCTGTGTTTTTCTTTTCCCCAGCAGGGAAAGTGGTTTCCTGAACACCTACCATTAAGTCAAAATGCTCCCAAATTACCACATCTAAGCAATATTCTACATTTTTTGATGTTCTGGGGAGCAAATAAATTTGCACCTCCTTTACTCCAAGAACTGGAATTGGCTCATCCATCTTTAAGAATGAGCCAATAAACCACTACATACAATTCAGGACTTAAGCAGATCTGAAGGCTATCCCTACGCAAACTGAGATACTTGATTGCCATATATTGTATGTACTGTTTCCCCTTTAAACTCACCTGGTCAACAGCACAGTTCATGAAGAAGAAATAATCTCAGTTGGAATGGTTCAGGTCTTCACATGAGCAGATCATGGGAGAGTCAGATGATTATCCAGGACCAGCAAGTTAGTGTTACAATATTTTTAAGAGAACAATGTTATTACACCATTATTTTATTATTACCTGTTAAATAATATTCATTCAAAATGCCACAGAATGCAAAATGGCAGTCATGAATAACCACAAATGAAAATAAATGAATGTGTAATGCTAAAAATCATTTATTTTTATTGCATATCACTGTGTATACAAGATCGGAGGAAATGCACCACACATAAAGACATTATAAATTATAAAAATGATAAAGTGTCATACATGTCAAATAGACAAAATCTTTCAATTAAAAAGAACACAAAAGATAATTAATTGAAAGAATTAAACAAAGTTACCAGTATGATGCTGTCAAAAATGCTTTGACATCAGAAACACAGACATCAGCCATACTATTTGTACAAGACATAGCAAATAATTTACAAAGTCAACTCAATGCGCTGCAGCATTAGGGTGCAGAGGTTTGACTCGAGCCAAACGGGACAGTCCTAAACGCAGACCCAATCCAGGAGATTTCACGGGCGCACTTTGATGCGAGGTAGGGCTATTTCCCATCAGACCTGATGACAGACAATAAAAAAAAAAAATTATCATTTTCTTACTGCCTCAACTGCACAAATGAATGGTACTGTGTTCTCGCCTCCTTATCATACAGTTCTAGACATTGTCATTGGTGTGTTTGCTTCCAAACTTAAGTTTACATCAGAAAAGAACAAGACCTGAATATCTTCCATTAAAATCAGACAATCCTAAGCACTTTAAGCGAAAAAACTCCATGGTGCAAGGGTACACACCATACTGTTTCATTCCTGTCATAGCTGAAGCAAAATAGAGATGGCACAGAGCAAAGCAGAAAATACCGGATCAAATATCAGAGGGGAGAACAAATCCAATGTTTGTCACAAAACCAGTCTGAAATAGCACAAAAATAACCTGCACTGTAAAATGTAAAGAGAAGTAAGTGGTATACATACATACATAATATAAATATATACATATACATATACATATATATACACACACACCAGGGGCTAGTTGTGTAGATAACATATAGTGGAATTGTTTGGGTGGTACATCATTTTCAGCACTGCAGTTAAGCGGACGTTGTTACTGTGGTGTGCTGGCATGAGTGGATCAGACAATTAAACAAACCTGCAGTTGCTGGATTTGCTAGTTTTTAAACACTGGGTCCACTAACTGTCCACTCTATTAGACACTTACCTTGTTGGTCCACCTTGCAGATGTAAAGTCAGAGATGACAGTTCATCTGTTGATGCACAGTGTGTTATTCATCCTCTATTACTTCATCAGTACTTCACCAGTTGTGGCTGGTAAGAACAATGCAGGTTTGTTTACTTGTCACCTTTAAACAAGGTAGGGTGAGCTACACTCACACCTGATTGAATTCTGAATGATTGAACCTCCTGACCTTAATTATCCCCTATACCAAATTGATAAATCTAGAGGTTCACATACTTTTGTCAAACAAAATATATAGTGATGGATCACTTTATTCAACAAATAAAACTATGTATTTGCTTATGGTATTTGTTTTATTGAGTACTTTTTATCTAATATGATTTCAAGGAAGACCTCATTTTAGGTCAAACGTGCAAAACTTTAATGCTAAAGGATTCACAAATTTTTAAGCAGCACTGTATATATCATTATTGGAACAAAAACTACAAAAAAAAACAGGAGAAGGAAAAAACATAACTTTCAACTTTTTTGTAAGTTACTGTAACAAGATCTCGGTGTCACTGCCTAGAATCTAGAATCGGAAAAAAACCCACACACACACACACACACACACACATACATACATATATATATATATACATATATATATATATATACACACATATATATATACATATATATATATATATATATATATATACACATATATATATATATATATATATATATACACACATATATACACACATATATATATATATATATATATAATATATACACACATATATATATAATATATATATATATATATATATATATATATATATATACACACATATTAAAACATGACTCACTTTACTTCACTTTACATTTCGCAGCATTACAATAAATTCATTTGTGGTCAAAACACAACCTTGTATCTCCAAAACGGAAACTTTACAGGAGAAGAAGAAATAACATTCTTAACATGTAAGGCAGTCAATGTAACACAAGGCAAAGGGCAACCAGTGCTTTCAAATTATGCAAGAAACTAAAACAATGACAAAAGTGGAAATACACGTGTAAAACATTATATAAAATATTTCATTTTAAGGCATAGGGATTTTCAAAGAAAATAAATATCGGCCAAGTGTAAATATCAGCAGTGGTGATGAAAAAGTGGTATCGTGCCATCTCTAAATTAGTCTAATTTGATTTTCATGGACTCTCTCACACACACACACACACAAACACTCACTCTCTGTGAGCACAGCCTTCAAAGCCCAGCTTACCAGGAGGATTCCACTTTGGAAGTCTGCCACCTGCAGGACTGGAGCAGAGTGCATGCTTAGCCATAGGAAGAGTGATGGGACTCCTCTTCTGTGCAGGCACAGACTGAGCAACACCTGGACTCCTGCTGAGTGCTGTCTTACTAACTGTTAAGGAGAGAAAAATCCAAAGGTGCATGAGGCAGTTAATAATAATTTATTTGCTTCAGTTGAGCTTAATGAATTCTTTTTAAAGGCTACTGTCATTTATATCCTGAGCACAACAACCTTTTAAGCAATGTTCAGTTATATACTCACTGGTCACTTTATTAAACACACCTATCTTGTATACATCCGTTTTATTATGCCCACTGACCACAGAGATGTATGTTGTGTTTCTCTGCAGCATTTGATGCTGTACTACACTGTATACATCAGCAGTCAGGAGCCTCACAAGTATTATTTAGGTGGATCATTCTCAGCACTTCACTGACATGGGTCCACCCCTCAAATAATGCCTGCTTAAAGGTGGTCCTGTAGGGGTTCTGACTGCTGATGAACAGGATAAATAAAAGCTAACAAATGATGCAGAGAAACAGCAGGACTACAGTTTGTAATTGTAGCACTACGAAACATACCTGTATGGTAAGTGGACCTGATAAAATGGAAAAAGAGTATAAATACAAGGTAGGAGTAGATAATGAAAGTGGCCAGTGAATGTATGTAAAATAGACTTTTTGAGATTTACAAAAATCAGAGACCATTCATTTATTCAATTTCAAGTCAAAATAACAATTAAGTTACTCTTTTTTTTTTTCAAAGTCCCTAAAAAACATTTGCAGACACTGCGTTCCCTTGCTAAATTTCTGCATTCACTTGCAAATGTGTTGCGTTCTCTTGCAATAATTACATTTACAAAATCCTTTGCATTTGCAAGGGAACAAAAATGTGCGAGGGTACGCAAAACATTTGCAAGACAATGCAAAATTATTGTGAGGGACACAATGTGATTACCTGTTTTTATTCATTTAACCACAGCCCGTTAGGGATTCACACAATGAAAAAAACTACAACTGAAGTTTTTTCTGAGTAATTCTATTTCATTTTATTTTGCAGTGGATGTTATAGATTTGATTTAGTTTTTTAGCTTTTGGAAACTGTCATTTTTAGTGTTATTTCAGTTAGCAAGTACATTTTTTCACTGCTGGTTTTTGTTTGAGTAATAGTTTTAGTTAACTATAATAACCCTGCCCTGGAGCCCAAACCTTAACATCACTGCTTGGGATTACTTGGATTGTGAGAAGAAAATGCAACCAACTTAGTAACAGTAAATCTACTGAGAACAATTGAAGCTGTAATAAAGGCAAATGGTGGACATAAAAATACTGAAAAATGTGATGTTACACTTAGTTGTTAGCTTGCACTTAATGCCTTTTGTGACAGTAAATTACATACTGAAAATGAGAAACTAAATAAATGGGAAATAATTAAATAAATGAAGGGTGGTCTCTGACTTTTGCACCATACTGTATCTTTAGTCCTAGCATAAAATATCATGCGAAAACCTTAACATTCAGAAAAACACAGCATGCAAACAGCTCATCCACTGCTTGTAATACCCCAAAAATGTATAACTTTGCATAACATTTTGACCCAGCGTTTTTTCTTCACTGTAAAAACGTTAAACACTGGACACCGATAACCGATCACAGTCTGCTACAACAAACCTACCAAGACTGACACTTCAGTGTGAAATCAAACAAAAAAATTAATAAAAACTTAAATTGTGCACAACCTGCAGACTTCTGTGTAGCTTTGGGTAATTTTGGTGTGTTCCTCTCTTTCTTGGCTGCCTTTGGGGCTGTCTTTTTCTCATTCCTGCTTGTTTTCTTTTTCTCTCCTTTTCTCTTTACTGTGAATTCTTCATCCTCACTCTCGTCAGAATCACTGAAATCTGCGTCACTCTCTGAATACGTAAAGGAAGGAAAGAATAGCATTAAAATTTTGTGCAATAAAGCTGAAGCCACTTTATATACCATGGAGAGAAAGTGGACTGTGTAGGCTAATGTGCTGTGAGTACCGGGTGTGTTTTGAGGTTTGTAGTCTTCATCCCCTGCGCTGTCGTTCTCGTCCTGCAACATCCGTTCCTGAGGCTGTCTGGTTTTTGAGGTCTTTGTCTGTCTGGAGGGGGTCTGCTCACTAATGATCTGATCTAAACCTAAGATTGTAGAGGGTTAAGGGTTATGTAATAGACTGAATAATGGTAGGAGCATACTTCCAAAAAGTCAGCGCGTCAATAATCAATACAACACCTGGACTCCTGCTGAGTGCTGTCTTACTAACTGTTAAGGAGAGAAAAATCCAAAGGTGCATGAGGCAGTTAATAATAATTTATTTGCTTCAGTTGAGCTTAATGAATTCTATTTAAAGGCAACTGTCATTTATATCCTGAGCACAACAACCTTTTAAGCAATGTTCAGTTATACACTCACTGGTCACTTTATTAAACACACCTATCTTGTATACATCCGTTTTATTATGCCCACTGACCACAGAGATGTATGTTGTGTTTCTCTGCAGCATTTGATGCTGTACTACACTGTATACATCAGCAGTCAGGAGCCTCACAAGTATTATTTAGGTGGATCATTCTCAGCACTTCACTGACATGGGTCCACCCCTCAAATAATGCCTGCTTAAAGGTGGTCCTGTAGGGGTTCTGACTGCTGATGAACAGGATAAATAAAAGCTAACAAATGATGCAGAGAAACAGCAGGACTACAGTTTGTAATTGTAGCACTACGAAACATACCTGTATGGTAAGTGGACCTGATAAAATGGAAAAAGAGTATAAATACAAGGTAGGAGTAGATAATGAAAGTGGCCAGTGAATGTATGTAAAATAGACTTTTTGAGATTTACAAAAATCAGAGACCATTCATTTATTCAATTTCAAGTCAAAATAACAATTAAGTTACTCTTTTTTTTTTTTCAAAGTCCCTAAAAAACATTTGCAGACACTGCGTTCCCTTGCTAAATTTCTGCATTCACTTGCAAATGTGTTGCGTTCTCTTGCAATAATTACATTTACAAAATCCTTTGCATTTGCAAGGGAACAAAAATGTGCGAGGGTACGCAAAACATTTGCAAGACAACGCAAAATTATTGTGAGGGACAATGTGATTACCTGTTTTTACTCATTTAACCACAGCCCGTTAGGGATTCACACAATGAAAAAAACTACAACTGAAGTTTTTTCTGAGTAATTCTATTTCATTTCATTTTATTTTGCAGTGGATGTTATAGATTTGATTTAGTTTTTTAGCTTTTGGAAACTGTCATTTTTAGTGTTGATTCAGTTAGCAAGTACACTTTTTCACTCATGCGAAAACCTTAACATTCAGAAAAACACAGCATGCAAACAGCTCATCCACTGCTTGTAATACCCCAAAAATGTATAACTTTGCATAACATTTTGACCCAGCGTTTTTTCTTCACTGTAAAAACGTTAAACACTGGACACCGATAACCGATCACAGTCTGCTACAACAAACCTACCAAGACTGACACTTCAGTGTAAAATTAAACAAAAAAATTAATAAAAACTTAGATTGTGCACAACCTGCAGACTTCTGTGTAGCTTTGGGTAATTTTGGTGTGTTCCTCTCTTTCTTGGCTGCCTTTGGGGCTGTCTTTTTCTCATTCCTGCTTGTTTTCTTTTTCTCTCCTTTTCTCTTTACTGTGAATTCTTCATCCTCACTCTCGTCACTGAAATCTGCGTCACTCTCTGAATACGTAAAGGAAGGAAAGAATAGCATTAAAATTTTGTGCAATAAAGCTGAAGCCACTTTATATACCATGGAGAGAAAGTGGACTGTGTAGGCTAATGTGCTGTGAGTACCGGGTGTGTTTTGAGGTTTGTAGTCTTCATCCCCTGCGCTGTCGTTCTCGTCCTGCAACATCCGTTCCTGAGGCTGTCTGGTTTTTGAGGTCTTTGTCTGTCTGGAGGGGGTCTGCTCACTAGTGATCTGATCTAAACCTAAGATTGTAGAGGGTTAAGGGTTATGTAATAGACTGAATAATGGTAGGAGCATACTTCCAAAAAGTCAGCGTGTCAATAATCAATAAACTCGATATGTATTTTCATGTCATTATTTTCTTAAAGCTCTTAACATATTTTCCTAGTTTAACCCTTCTAATCAGCTGTAGCTCAATCCTGAAGCCAAGCTGTTGCATGTTGCTATGACTCCAAACTGTAGCCCTCTCGTTTAAGTACAGCTTTTAAATGGCAAATTTCTTTGATGGACCTCTTGGTAAAACCAAAGTTATTTCTAGCTACTGAAGTATCATTTACAAGCACAACATCACTAATATCACTAATTTATCAGAGTACTCTGGACAGTTCTCACATGATACCCATGGACAAATCAATGAGCAGCAAAGTATTAAAAAAAAAAACTACTACTCTCACTGATGAAAATTGGAAACTGTGTTCACTTTCACATGATTTTGAAGTTCAGTTCATGTGTACCCTGTGTTCGTGTGATGAAAAATAAATGTTACTGAATTACTGAAAACAATAAATACATTCTGATCAAACTTATCTGACCATTTAAACAGTTATAACAAAATGCACTTTTATTATTATTTTTATATGATTTTAGTTATTTTTCATTTATTATTTATTATTTTTTAATAAAAAAATCTGTGAGGTCAAATTTAATTGCAATTAACTATTCCAAATGCCTGGTCCATTATTTTAATTGTCTGACAGTCCCACTTTTAATAAAATATATTTGGTATAATGCACATTCTACTACTGTTTTTAATAGTACTGTCTGTCTGATACTGCACTCTGTGTACTGCTTTAACCACCTGTCATTATTCTGCATTTTATTATTTGTCTAGGCTGTTCTGTATTCCAGTTTCCTGTACTTTTGGGCTTTTGTGCTGTGCTGGTCTAGGATAATCACAACGTAACTGAAAGTTATCCTCGTATAAGCTGGGTGTTGATCAAATTTTTTAGATATTAATTAGATTTCGATATTGACTCCTGAATGATTTTTTGATGTCTTCTTTTAAATTACAAACCATAACTGGGTATAGCGTAAACTACAAATAAGTGTGAGGTGCTGAAAGTGGACATATTTACAGACCACAACAGATTACCAGCTAAACAAAAAGCGCTGACTTATTAAAATGACTGTTAGACAACCAATTGGCAGTCTAGATTTTAGAATAAGTATGTTTATTGGCCCACTGATGCTGATCAGACTGACTGCTAAGGCACTGAGATTTGGTACTGGATGTCATCACCTTCTGATACCCAGCCCTACTCCTCATCAAAGTACCACCCTACAATGGCACAGTAATTCAATAGCAGTCTACATTCAATAGCACGTTCCTGCACTTCATGGGATCTAACGTCCCAAAACATTTCCCATTTAACTTTGTATTTGAACTTTTTATCTGTATTTGTTAGCATATGATGCTTAACAGTGAACATAAGATGCCTAAATGTATCTATTAGCAATATCATTGCAATATCATTACATGCAAGTGACAGTGTGTCCTACCTAAGCAGCTGACATCCACACTGCAGTTTGACAACACAGGAGGTGAATCTCGAGGGAGGAGGTGGTTTGGAGATGTATCGTCTTCTAGGAAAGAAATAATTCATTTTTAACAATATAACTTAGCAAAATGAGCATACTCAATGCTATGAATTCAATCATTAGTTAAAACAATCTTAACATGCATTACCTACGCAACTGCCATCCATGCTGCAGTGTGTCAGCACAGGAGGTTGACATGTTTCATCTTCTTCAGAGCAGAAATAAGAAAGATTAGGTTTATACTAAGATTAGTAAATAAGACATGCATACTTGAACTATCAAGACATTTCCATCATTTATGAATACATAAATGACAAAATCTTCAAACCTAGAGCATTAGTAAGTGGTTCCTCCACTTTTTCCACACTCTGCTGCAGAGAGAGACTCAGTGCTGCTTCCAAATCTCTTTTATATAGTTTTTCATCCAAAGACACTCTGAAAAACACATTTCCACAACTTATTAAAGTGTATTTTTATTCACATATAACAGACATGATTATTCAGGGAAGAAGTACACTTCCCACTTCATGTCTAATATAAAAAGTCAAAAACATTGGTAATACCTCTCTTTGGATCCTTTCCCAGTTATAGCATCCATTTCTTTTGGAGAGTTACTTGGAGTTTCCCTCTTATTTTCATTATGAGGCTCCTGAACAGACGCCCGAGCTTTTTTATTTGGAGGACCCTTCACTGTGGCAAAATCTTCCTCTGTCGTGGACATAAAATGTATGATTAGCAAAACAGTTTGTAACACCTTGTTTAAAGAGAACTCCAGCGATTTCAAAAGTTCCACATTATTCAGTTGCTGAGATGCAAAAAAGTCATCCAATGCATGTTATTGTAAAATGATGTAATGAAGACACATGTACAGATTCAGGTTTCTTTACAGTCGTGGTGATTAGAAACCAGGGGTCACAATGTCCACAGCGCATATATAGCATTTTATTTACCTTCCAAAACGACCAGTGAACCTACACGTGTCATTTGAGTTCTTATATGTGAGACTACTGCAAAACAATAGTTCAGGCATCAGGCAATGTATTTGTAAACATTTCATGTAGGCGCTATCTGTGAGACAGCGTTGAGGCATTCGAACTCTTCGGACATCTGGGTACTATCACCACCACTGTGAGCAATCCTAGGTTAACTCATTTAATGTTAGCTGCTCTATACGAATTTTACCTTAAACCACTCTGAAAGTCTTTGTTTACAACTTCACGTTTTAATTATGCAGAAATGATAGAAAATCAGTAGAATTCCTCTTTAAAATGTATTGCTGAGTGATACAATAAACTAAACTACGCTAGATGTGATTTCATATGGATAACAAACAAGGGATCGTCTTACAAGCACTGTAAGTTAACGTAATCAATGCATTACCATCATCATCCAGGAAATCCGAATAATTAATGGTTTTTCTATTCCTGAAAAAAAAAAATTGGTTATGACCATTGGAGAAGGAAGAAATCACAAAACTATTTCGACACAGCAGTTACGGGAGAGAAAGAATAAGGCAAGGTTACATAATTGACCCAAGTTTGCCACTACAGATAACGTTAGAGAAGTTTATATACGTTACAGAAGACAGTCAACACATGAGAAGACAAATGCTAAACAAACCTTGCTGGCCGGTCCATTTTATAGAGAAGCAGACAAGACGAACTTTGTGTTTATTTTAGAAGCAACATAACGCTTCTATCTATCAAGCTAACGCATATGCTATGTGCTACATGCTACAGTTCACTACGCTTTGAAAAAATCTGTCTGTTTAAAATACTAACTGACTCTTACACTTAAGCTCCATTAAAAGTCCATTAAAATAATTATGCAGTGATAGTCGGCAGAACGAATGGAGCTACAAAATATGATCATAACAATTTCGCGCTTTAAGCTTCTGTTTGACACAGACCAGCTACCCGCCTGAAAAACAAACGAGGAAAAGTCATTGAGGATTCCCGTGCCTAGATTCGTAAGAATCGCGATTAAAACAAGACCGCTTCCATCTGCAAAAAACATTTCTTGACTGATACACAGACGTATTCAATCCCTGCTGCGCAATACATTTCCAAATTTAATTTCATTTAAAGCACAGAAATTTGCCATCTATTGAAAATCGAATCTGCTGGCGAGCTGGCGCAGAGACAAACAGCGGGGCTGCGTCCAAATAGTTGAATGAAACTTGCTAGACATTTTAGGTGACCCCACGTGCAGGAGTAGTCAGCAATGGACCAATTAAAAAACACATTAATAACTGAGCGCTTCAGCACCTTTTTGACAGGCACTAGAATGACTCAAACTGATTTGGTTAATGATATGAACAGTGTAAATACCTCATCGGTGCCATATTCAGTTTCTAGAGTTTTGAAATAATGAAAAACTATTCCTTGGTGACCATGTTACAATACCTGACATATTCTAGCCTCAATTTCAGGAATAAATCTGTGATAAAATATGGGTCACTTCAAATCTAGACTTGTTTCCAAACTAGAAATGTAAAAACAGAAAAGGGTATGTTATTCATTTCTGTTACCTAAATCACCTCGTGGATGTGGACCACAGTCTATACTCCAAATTGTGCACTTCTGCTATGTGGACAAATTGTATGTAGTTTTTACCAGACAAGTTCAAAAATAGTTTTGTTGGTTTTTGAATCCTCATAACCAGAGAGGATTCATATGATCTTTAATTTATTTTCTGCCATATTCCACTCAGCCACTGGTGCATTTCGCTCAGTTACTGGCATACTTCACTCAGTCATTATAGGTAGCCTTTTAGTAACGGCTTTAACTGCTTGCCTGGCTAGTTAGCAATCTAATGACAATATAACTGCACTAAACCTCACAAAAAACATATTAGATCACATGTGGCTTAGGTTTGCACTGAAGTAGCAGTAAAGTATTTATGAGAAACAGACAAATGATACTTGACACCTCAGTTAATGTTACTAGCCTAGTCACAGCTTCTTATTCAAATTTTTCATTACACCTTAAATGGTGCAGCAGTTACATTCTGTCGCCTATGAGTTAGTTAGCCGATTCCAAACGTGATAAATCCCATAAATGATGTTGAACATTTTATATCATTAAATTCCATTCGATTACAGTATAAAACGAGCCTGAGCTTGATGTTTATCCACACTCTCACTACAGTGCTTCCTATGTGCTGTTTAGAGCTGCAATAGTTGAATGAAAATGTTTTGTTTTCTGTCTGCTTTCCTTGATTTTGCTCTGAACTTTGTTCTGATAGTCATGTAGATCAATGTGTCTCAAATCTGGTCCTGGAGGCCCACTACCCTGCACATTTTAGAGCTTTTTCTGCATTACCACTACCACTTTTGCTCAGTATTGGCTTTCAATAAGTGGATTGGTTGGATCAGGTGTGTTGGGAGCAGGAAAAACATTAAAAAGTGCAGGCCAGTGGGCCTCCAGGACCAGGGTTAAGAAATTGTGATGTAGATCCACATGCTCTGCAAACATATTGAGTGAGTCCATGGGCTACAGATCAGCCAAAATCAAGAAAAGTAGGTAGGAAAGGAATATTTATTAAACTGTGCTGAGCCAGCCTTGACCAACAAAACTTGCCACAATGGCGGATCATCCACAAGACACTGAGTCAGAAAATCACTTTCCCAAGCCTTACAGGTTAATAAATACAACCAAGGTAGTATTACTGTAACGCTTACCTCAAATATTGAGCAAACTTTCTTTCTCTGTCAAAGAGACAATTCATTTTAGGGATACCTGCAGAATGCAGTATATCTAGATATATAAAGGCAAATGCTGAAGCCGAAAGGAGAGTCTGAAAACAAGAATACTACCATTCTTGGGACCTATGGGTTAAAAATAGTTCGGTTCAAGGTGGGCATGGGCTCTGAGTGGGTTTGTACATGGGTTGTTACTGGGGCCCAAGTAGGCAGCCCTGAAAAATGTACATGGGTTAAACTGGGAAACTCATAAAATCTACATATATAATTGCAGCCCATGTACACCTTTGTGGATTTATTTCAGTCTATAAATATTTTGTATGTCTGGTAAAAATGTTGCTCATATATATTTCAGAAATTAAGATCAAAGTTTTTTTTATTGGTTATTGTATTTTTTTAAACAATTACAGTGAATGCAACTCAGGTGCATTAAAGGGGCAAAAATATGAATACCTCAGAAATATGGCTGAAATCTAATTATAAAAAATAAATCTATTACTCAGAATGCTGGTAACATTTCCTGAGGACATTTTCTCAGGACATTCGCCAGCTTCTTGTTCGAATTTCCCTGTTCCACCTTAAGTGATGCAGAAGTTACATTCAGAACTGCTGCATCATTAAAGGTGGAATAGTGAGAATTTGAACAAGCAGCTGGCGAAAAAGAAGCTGACTTCAGCTTCAGGGAGAATTGGAAGGCATGATATAAGGCGATTTCTCTATTTCTGCTTGACAGCTGAGTAACATTAACTTATTTTGGTGTTTCACAGAACGAACAGGTAAGTATTGTTTTGTCCTGTTTGCTAATGTGTGTGAAAGCTAATCACAACTGCTGCACCATTTAAGGTGGAACGGGGAAATACAAACGAGAAGCTGGCGAAAAAGAAGCTATAATTCAGCCTCACAGTTTTAACACTGATAGTATTTTTGATAAGAAGTATTAGCCTATTAAAATATCCTACCTAGAGGTTTTATTTACAGATATACCTGTAAATATGCGCTGTGATAGAAGATTTTGATAAGGTAACACAACTCGCAAGAACACCGCCACAGCCCTCCTTGGTTTCATGTAACTTAGTGATTACAATGACTACATCCACATGTGAGATTTACACACTACTGGAGTTATTCATGTAACAAACAAGTTATGATCTGGGCAAGTTATGATCTCACTTTTTTCTTTGGTTATGCTGTGAAGTATTTTGGCACCACCCTGTTGTACTGAATTCCAACTCTGAGGGATCGTGAATGAATGGCTGACACCTGTTGGTAAAACAATGAAATAACAGGCTCCAGTATAAGTGTTCTAAAAAAAAAAAACTTTTTCTCAAAAAGATTTGAAACAAACAAGCAATCAAACAAACTCAGTGCTGTATTTAAAAGTAGATTAGCTGTTGTGGAAAGGGATTTATATATAAGGCCACATTAAATTTTCTGCACATCAACGTTTCCTTACCTGAACAGCATGAGCAACTGCTGTAAGCATTTCCAGGTTCATGTTTTTTTACGCCAAAGTGGGTTAGTCTGAAAATGATGCTCAGGAAGAAAATTATAGCTTCTGGTGGGCATCTTTTATGCAAGCTTTGGGTTGGAGATTTTTGCTGGACCTGGCAATGCTAATAATACAGCTGTTAAAAAAACAAAAACAGTGAGAGATGTTTTAATTGGAGTTTGTAAACTTTGGGGTTGATCTTAATATTTAATTAGTTGAAAGGTAACGCTAATATAAAAAGGCAGCACTACCAGCAGGTACTCCAGAATGAGAATGATAAACTAACTAATATTACTGTCAAAGTGTTGCTAACGGTATGGTGAAGAGTGTTAACATGATGCCTGATAATCTAAATTTTGTTGGTAATTGCTGTTGAGAGTTTTGTTACAATTAATAAATTGCTGATTATAGAAATAATATGTTGAGAGGCAATAATAAAATTAGCTAGCATTCCACGTAGTGACCAGTACTGAGTAGCTCACGTCTTGCAGTTTTTTGAGGATACAGGATATCTACATTCAAGAGCTGCCAGAAACTACAGAATAGCTCAGAGTCTGACAGGGGACGCAATTGACCCCAATAGACCACTGTAGTGGTGCGTCATTCTGTAGCCCTCGTTATGCCCATATTGGGAACTCGGGGTCTAAGCTCCATTTCTCTATGGCCAGAATGAATAGGGTTTTCGAAAAATAGCCTCTATCGCACCCTGTGTTAAATAAAAATGTTCAGAACCCGATACGTTTTGTCCTGTGTACATTTTTCTCCCGAATACCACTGGATCCTCCGAATTATGAGGTCGGTAAAGAGCTATAATACTAATATTGCTACAAGCGAGCTAAAGTTACTGCGCATCAATTTGATGTCACTGAACTACACGAACCTAAGGCGGGCTGTGGCGGTGCTCTGATGAGCTGTTCTACCTTATCGAAATGTTCTAGTGTAGCGCATATTTACGAGTATACCTGTAAATAAAACCTCTAGGTGGGATATTTTTATAGTCTAAAACTCCTTATCAAAAATACTATCTGTGTTACTACGAGGCTGAATTTAGCTTCTTTTTTCGCAGCTTCTTGTCTGAATGTTCCCGTTCCACCTTATATGGTGCAGCAGTTGTGACTAGCTATCACAAACATTAGCAAAAAAGAGACAAAATACTGACCTGTCGGTTCTGTGAAACAGCAAAAATAAGTTAATGTTACTCAGCTGTCAAGCAAGAAACCTCCTCATACCATGCTTTTTAACCTTCCATGAAGCTGAAGTCAGCTTCTTTTTCGTCGGCTGCTTGTTCGAATTTTCCCGTTCCACCTTAAATGGCACAGCAGTTCAGAAGGTGGCTGCTGCACCATTTAAAGCTGGTACGGGAAAAGTTGAACAAAAAGCTGGCTAATGTCCTAAGAAAGTGTCCTCAGAATAATGTAACCAGCATTAAAATAATAATTAGGATATTCTTATAACCTAAATTAGTTCATCAGGGTCAGCGGTAATATTAAGCTGAGTCTGTACTGGATTAGCCTGAGTGCAGGTACGTTTGTAGATCTTTTCAAATCCATCTAAAAGGAAATATCTATCGTGTTTCAGTGAGCAACAGATGAAGAACAGAGAACTGTTGAGAAACTTGCTTATTTTGTTCTGACTTCTTTTCATCTGCCCTCAGTCTGTACATGAAAATGTCTACTGCCAAAAGCTGCTTAAGGAGGCTGCCCGTCTAATGACGTGAATTAAGTGCGCAGTATAGCTTTAGCTCACATGTAGCAATATTCATATTTCAACTCTTTAATGACCTCGTAATTCAGAGGATCCAGTGATATTCGAGAGAAGAATGTTCACAGGACAAAACGTATCGGGTTCTGAACATTTTTATTTAACACAGGGGGCGCTAGAGGCGATTTCTGGCCATAGAGAAATGGAGCTTAGACCGGAGTTCCTAATATGGGCATAAGATCATGGCGTCGACTACAAAATGTAAATAATATTGTGCACTGCCTAAAAATAAATTGATATAAATAAGTAAATGTATTTATTTCTGAAATAACTTGATTAGTCATAAAATTTATTTACCCAGGTCATCGTAACATTATCTATTTCTCTTCACATATGCTTGCATGGTAAGAATTCAAAGTCATACATTTTAATACCTTATAAAAATAGCGACTGGGCACACTCTAACATGCATGGAAGCATATTGGTATCAAAATTAAAATGAAACAATGCAATGTTAAGCTCAAAATAAAAATTCAGTATCAATACTGTGATTTTAATTTGCTATTTGTTATACTAATATTTAGATGTTTTGTGAGTAGCTTTATATCCATTAAAATATTTCAAAAACAGCATATTTATGCTTCAGCACTGTTTCGTAAACTGAGAACACCGATTGAAAGTGAGGCTGGACATAGCCATGCCATGTGGGGATATCTTCTGCAGAGTAAGCATCAGAGCTCAATACATTGCTTTGCCATTAGCTCACCTGCTAATGTACTATGTGAATTGTGGAGGGCTGCAGAATTAAGCTAGCTAAAAGCCATTGTTAATGCTAGCTAATGCTACATTCCAAAACAAAGCCCCCTTTTGCTGTTTTTTTTTAACAGCTGGCTAAATGACCCAGCTCACTGTGGCACACACATATGCCAGCAACTTCTGTAAAATTCATTTTTAAAAAGGAAAGCAGAGACCCCCTAGGTGAATTTGGTTGAAATATGACACAGTACAGCGGCTGTTGCCAAAACAATTACAACCAAATAATTTTTGGTAACAGATAAAGTGAAACACAGCAATATATCCACATCTGATGCTTACAATGTAAGTTAGAAAATAGCTCTTGATGCCTGTTTAATCTCTTTCTGCCACATTTGTAGCCTAAGGTCAGCTCTACTGTTGGTCTGGGCCTGTTGGGATGATTAACAGGTTGGGAAGACCATGCAAATGAAAATGCAGTCTGGTTGAATGCATTTTCAAAGGCATTTTGCCACAGAATTCCAAAGAGGAGAGGTGCTGTTTCCCATTTACAGTAGAATTTTTGCCATCTTTGTAGCTTGGTGTTCACTTCGGTAATGCAATTTAAATGCATTATTAGAGAGTGAAAATGAATCTATGATAAAATACATATTAATTATCATTTTGACACAAGCACTACATAATCACATTAAGCATATATATGCTGTTCTGGAAATACATTTTAATTTAAACAAAGCTACTCATAAAGCATCTAAGTCTTTGTGTAAATGAAATGTCAATGTTAGCATACCAAATGGCAAATTAAAATCACAGTATTGAATTTGAATTTTCATTTTGAGCTCAACATTGTTGAGCATATATTAGTGGGAAAATTTAATGCAAACAGACAAATACATTGCCATTTTACATATTACTTTTTTCATTTTAATTTTGATACTGACATGCTTCCATAAACATGGGCTAAAATGTCACAAAGATTTATTCAATGGTTCCCTATGATCTAAAGGAACTGAAGGATTTTTAGATATTCAATTTGTATGTTAGATTCTGTGAATGATTTTCTTGTGAGGTGTTCTTGTTGCTTTAGGTAACTTTAAATTGTGCAGTTGTGCAGCAACAACTGAAGAAATATTCTGAGCACTAGTGTGTACCTTGTTGCACAGCTTCTTCAAAGCCACTGTCTCTACCACTACTCCCGAAGTGCCATCTACAGATGTTATTATGGAACACAACTCCTGTGCTGGTGTAGTTAGACATAATTATGCTAACTAGAAGCCATTGCTAGCAGCGGTTGTTATCCCAAACTGTTGTCCAGCTATCATATAGACCAGCAATTTTATGCTTATATCTTTAAAAAGCAAATTATACAGACAATACAATTTAGAAATCAAAAAGGTAAATACTTAAAAATACTTTAAAAAATTATTTTGAAAAAAATTACAGTATTAACGTTTATACCTTGCAATTCTATTCAGTCATACAGAGTAAAGTTATAAAGGCATATACAGTTTTTGGTAGCATGTGTTAACTATTTCGCTTCTGTTTTGCTAGCCTCTGTGTCTCCATTCATACTGGGGAAGTAGTTGTGCTTGTGTTTAAAACAGGCTAAAATCGCACACAGTATGCCTGGCGGCAATATGCCCAGGTGGAATGTTTAAATGGACACAACATGGTGTGAACACATCCTTGTTTGTTCTTTAGCGCAGCAGCTTACACTAGGCTTACGTATCAGGTAATGCCAGATAGTATCGGATGTTGGTTTGGGAGCATTTTTTAGTATTACACGAGTACGAGTATACGAGTATCGGTATTGATGCATCCCTAGTTGTCATGTTTCTCAAATGTCATGGTAAAATGTTTTGTTTAAAACAAACCCCAAAGAGTGTTTTAGAGTTCTGCTGGTATCTAAACCTCCCTACATTTTATAAACATTTTTGTTTGGGGTTGAAGACAAGACAGACTTGGTAATCTGGGTTAGGTGAAGAGCACTCCACTGGAGTTGTAATGAATTTGACTTCTGGGTGTTGAATTAGAACATAAAACAGAAGAAAGTCAGAAAAAAAGTTTTTATTCATTTTGAATGGAAAGTAAAAAGAGTATAACTTTTCCACACATGTATATCAAGAAAGCATCAACATAAATACCATAAATAAAACAAATGAATGAAATTAAATAAATAAATATTTGTATTAGTATACAAATCCTTTCCTCAGGTGGTGTCCTGCACCATCTGATTGGGATGAGAGTTAGGACATAAATACTTAACTAACTCGTATTTTACCAGAGAACAACATGGTATAAAAGTAATTTTAAGAGACAGTTTACAAACACTCAAATTTGGTCAGTCAAAGTGGTTTTTTGTATAAAGGCACAACAGGACCTCAAACACAACAGCAAGCCATTTCAAAAGATTTGGACACATTCTGACTTTGATGCTTTAAAACATGCGTTAAAAGACATCAAAAGCAGCAAACTCAGAGAGAAAAGTAAAGTGAAACAAATCAACACCTCACCACCTCACTGTGCTTCAAATACTGTTTTAAAGCTGGGTTACAATTTGGACCTGTGCTCTTTTTGCCAGACCAGCTTTAGTCCGATCACAACCTCAGCCAACAACTCCTGACATACGGGGACTGCCTGGGCTTCTCGCATGGATCATGTCCCATGGGTCATCATCAGAGGGTGAGAGCAGAGCTTCTCTGGAGGTGTTACGATCCTCTAAAAGGCTCCAGCTCCTGCTCAGCATCCTCTTCCTGCACTGCGTGAGAGTCTGACTCCTCCTCAAAGCCGAGTACTTTGAGGGGGTCGGAGGGGTCGACCTGGCGGTTCTTCCTCTCTCTGTGCTTAAGGCGCTCCAGTGGAACTGTGTTCTTCTCCGACAGGAAAAGCGAAGAGCGAGGGAGGTTCTGACTTGCCGTGTACCTGTGCTTCACCCCGTCCAGGTTCAACAGGATGCCGGTCTTTGTGGAATAGTAAATGTCACAATGGTTCTCCAAAAGCTTGTGGTGGAAAAGACAGTCATCTCTGTTGCAAACCGTCTGTGAAAGTGAGAAAGAGGGAGGAGAAACGGCCTTTCTATTTCGCAATCTCGACTCTCTATCTCCCGTCTATCCCACCCCTTCCACTCTTCTAGTCTCTACCCCGCTCCACCTCGTCCAATCTCATCAGCGTCGTCTTCCTCCATTTTGCCCTATCATCCTTGCTATCACACTCTTTACCCAACCCTCTTCGTTTCACCTCTCCATCTCTATTCATACCTTTCTCTCTCTAGCTCTTCCCCTCCAACTAACGCTTATTTCCCTTCTCTCTTCTTTTCTTTCCCTACTGATTTAGCCCCATCCTACACATTATTACTCAATCCCCTATTCTCCTTATGCCATCTCCTCGGCAGACATATCCAGTTGTTCTATTTTCCTCTCCTTTCCTTTAACTCAAAAGTATAACCAATGGTTATGTGTACATATATATGTTGCATGTATAAGTTTTGTTGCCCTGGTCAGTTTACATGTTATGTTGATTTTCTAAGCAAGTTAACCCATCTCCTACAGAGAACACACGTTTGCATGTTTTAATGCCCAATTACTGTTTATAAGCTGAATATAAACCATGGTGCAAAAAAGCATAAAATGTGGCTTGTGCCAAAGTTATGGCACATTATATGTTTTCTGTTTTCCAATCATTTAAATTCAGCAAATACATAGAAATTGTGTACTAGAATGTGCAGAAACATGTCCTGTTTATTGTATTCATTGTTGTATTCTTTGTCGAGGTTGTGTTAACTTGTCTTTGCTTGTAGAAAATCTACAAAACATGTAATTTGATCAGGGGTGCCCAAACTTTGGAATTTCACTGTTGAACCGTGAACACCCAAAGAACACTGTGAGTGCTTAAAAGGTTCTTTGCATAGTTGTATATGGTTCTTTAAAGTTAACTTTTTTTTAAAATGGTTATATAGAGCATCAACTAGAGTTCTGTTGCTACAAGTCATAGAACCCCACCTTTTTATTTTTTTGAGACACGAAAGTTCTCACCGAAGTAAAGAGATTCCCCTCAGCGTCCATGCACAAGAATCGACTGCTTTTCACTCCAAATATCGCCACACGGTCTCTGCTCTCGGCTTTCAGCAGAATGACACCTGTTGAAACGGTGCAAAGAAAACTGGAATACGTGCAGTAAACGGCGGCCAAATCAAGTTGTGCAAATTGTCGTGCAAAAATAAAAATATAAATATTAATCGGTCGGAACAGTATTTGGTCTAGAGTCATTAAAGTCCGTACTCACTGTATGAGCCCCGATGAGCCGTTTTGCGCACGTGCCCATTCAGACTTATCTCAAGGTAGAAGTTGTTGAGATCTGTGCTAGTCTGCAGGTGAATGAATCTCCTCGGGTTTCCCCAGTTAGAGCTCTGCAGGGGAGACGCGTTGGGGGCAGCAGCCGCGGGTCCACATCCCTGTAGCATCGCGAGCCACAGGGCGAAGAGCGAGCGCAGGTTGAGGCGCGGAGCGAGAGGACGCATGTTCACAGACTGCGCGGCGGGGACTGACAACTTGGTGCAGCAGAGAAAGAGGCAGGAGCTGAAGTCGCTCTGATGCGTTAAACGTGAAGCCCGGCTATTTAAACGCACCCCGCGCCACTGCTTGCTGACAGTCTTTACGCAACACCCGCCCCCATAAGAGAGATGCTGCGAAGGAACGGAAGAGCGGAGGGGCGGCTCTCTCCGCGCACCTTGGTCTGTTTATAGTGAACTTAATTGGCCGGAACGAGCCAAACCATAATTGCGTTGAGCAGCAGCCCACCAAACACAAATATGACTCTTATTGTGCCCACACGCCACAACTTTCATTTCGAGAGTTTTATAACAGACACTTTCACTGAATTTTGTTTTCAGCACTACACGGTGAAAAAGAATACACCGAAACATCGGGGAAAACATAAAAAGAACGTGTTAAAACATTAGGAGAAATATTTCCTAATCATCACTGATTGGAAAACCGAAAGTTAAACTTATTGTTGGATCAGGACTGTGGTCAGAGCTTCAGGTGTGCGTCATCGCTTCAGATTGACCAGCAGAGGGAGCTTGTGCAGTGCAGCAGTTTTCACTCCATGAAGTTTTCTATCCGCGATGTCATTGGTATCATATAGGACTATGTAAATCTGTCAAAATACGTTGTATAAAAAAAGTTGATACGTTGACTAACATACTTTATAAGTCGGTCAATACCAATATAAATGATTAATTAATGAGAAATACAGAAGATTAGTCAGCTTATATTGAGTTGTTTAGGATAACTATTAATATCTTAAGCCATATCAATCTTACCTTCAGTGGTCCCATTCTTAACAGAAAATGTAGCAAAAAAAAAAAAAACACTCTTTGAAGAACAATATACAGGTTTTCCATCACAGAAAAGAACCATTTGACCATGCAAAGAACCATTTAAACATTAAAAGCGTTCTTTGAGTCGTCATAGGTCATGTCATGAGTACAATCGTTGTCTTTGAAGAACCCCCTTTTTAGGGGTGTAAGCTTATCACCAAGTTGTACAAGGAAATTCATTTCTTGTCTATTTTAGACATTAGAGACTTTTTAAATTAAAAACAGAAGTCTTGTGTGCCATGTTAGTAGTCAGTAGTAAGTGTGACTAAAAGAACTTGTACTTAGTAGTAGTTTTTTTATTTTAACTTTGTACGTTTGTGAGTGAGAATTTTCAGTCGTTTTTTGTGAGAGTGAGAATTTTCATTCACTTTCTTTTTTGTAAATTTATTATATTAATAGCATCTGACTAATTTAATCCAAACATCCTGGCATCTTGACAGTCATAGCACACACACTCACACATCATCTAAACCGCTTATCTTTCTGGATTGCAGGGAGGTGCTGGAGCCTGTCCCAGCTGTCATTGGGCAGAAGGCAGGATACACCCTGGACAGGCTGCCAGTCCATCACAGGGCAACAGTCACAGCAGTGCCATTCAAATAACTCATACAGTAATGTTTACTGTAGACAGCAGCATAGATATGTAGTTATCTTAAGAAAAAGTAAACAGATATCAGTTTAAACAGATGTTTGGTTAAAGAGGTGATTTGCTTGGCTACATTGAAAATGAGGGTTTTTACTTACGAGTCGGAATAACGATTGATTGATTGATTGATTGATTGATACTAATTTTAATAAAATAAGTCATTAGAACTGCAGCTCTATTTGGAAAGGTTTTTCGAACTAATGCTTTTTACCCTTCAGTCAAGTTGCATGGCAACTATTATTTTTATATCAACAGTAGCCCTACTTGAAAATTGTCAGTGTTGGAACAAAACCTCCAATGGTCACTTTACAGCAGAAGGGAAAACATTCTTAACCCTTAATGGAAATTAATGTGACAGTTTTTTGGACCATTTTTTGGACCATTCATTTATTTTGGACAATTTATTAATTTTGGACCATTTATTTAGCTGGTACTTAATACATACTTTATGTATAACAAATCAATCAGTGAATAAATAATAAAAAAACAACAAAAATGTACGTACAAGGTTTTGTCCCCATATTATATTTGATTATTTCTCCCACCAGCTGGTACTGTTGGACATTACTACACTCAGTGTGAAGACATGATGAAATAGAAGAAACCATTACTGACCATTGGAAGATAATAATGTAAAAGACACGTCTTAAAAAATCAAACTTTAATTGTTATCAGGAATATGGTTACACTGCTGTGCACAGCACATACGTACAAAAATAAAAGGAAAACCACTTTTTTATATATATATATATTTGTTTTCACACATAGCATTGTTGGTTTTCAGAAACAAATGATTGAAGACGTCTGTTTCCTACAGCTTCACAATCTTTGTAAGAAATCATAACTAAGGCAGGAGGTGAGGTATATGTTAACAGTGAGAAGGAGAATGGCGGGCACAACATGCCCTTCAGTGCCAAGGTTTAAAACCGAGAGAAAGAATGAGGAAGGGGGGAGGGGGAAAGAAAGAAAGAGAGAGCATTCTGAATGGTCACACATGCCCCCAAAAACTGTTATTAATGTCTGTAATTAGCCTGTCATCAATGATCCCCTTATTTTCATGTCCTGTACTTTTCTGCAGAATGTCCAGCTTTGGGCATCTGCAGTCTTGCTGAATTTGGGGGAGCCATGTCTGACACCACACATCAGATTTATTACAGTGTAATTGCTACTAAAATGTTAACAAGAAGGTAGTGGCCCACTGTTTACAAAAGAACAAAGCATCTGAAGTTAATGAATCTTATTTGTATCACTTGCATGAAAAAGTTCCATTAAATGGCTGATAAACCGTTTTCTGGAGAAGGGTTTCTATATAAAGCTAACTAGCAACAAGTTCAGCCACACCCTTAAAAAAGCAGTCTGTTCTCACTCTAAAGGACAACAACATCCCAAATTCTATAACTGGCATGACATTCTAATGGCAGGTGTGCCACAGATTTCTCAGCCCTCTCCATGGCTGTGGACTGGATTCAGTTTGTATGGGGCTCTATTGACAAGTGACATGCACAGACATTCTCCCAAGGCTGACAGGCCACATCTAACAGGAAACCAGCTTTCTTATTCTCTGCCCAATAAACATTTTTACAGCTGTTGCTATAAATCTGCTTGACGTACACATCAACGATTGGGATTGCTCAGATTCTCCAGCGTTCATGCACCCTGCTCCATTCTTCACTGACTAAGATAGCTATGGCTCCTGTGTAAATCTGTCATTCTCCCAGGTTCTCTAAATCCACAGGAAAGACTTCATCATATAAGGAGTTACTAAGAACATGTCAATAAGGCATAATAATACAAAGCTTTCTTAGGCAAGAGAAAGACTTAACATGCAACTTGACAAGGTTTTTGTCAAGTTTTTGTGAGTTTATATTTACAGTGCACTGTAATACAACATAGATGTTACGGACATGTGGAGGTGTTAATGGTGAAGTGATGGCAAACTGTGTAATTGGTCTTGTCTGGTATGAAGGTGTGATTCATACCGAGTGACATTCTTTAGGATTTCAAGCATTCCCTCCCATTCCCATTCTCCGTTTGGTAGGGTGTATTGCCTCTCTCTCCACATGTCATTATGAAGTGATTCCTACCAGTGATCTTAAAATGCTCTTCACATAACTATCTACATAACATACCTACAGATGCAGCAATGGTTGCATTTTCAATTTTGGCCAGTGTGTCTCTTTACCCTGAAAATGTTAAAAATGAATAGTTATGAAAATACTTATGTTCATATCTATTAATTTTTAACATTTTCAGGGTAAAGAGACACACTGAACAAAATTGAAAATGTAACCATTGCTGCATCTGTTGTAAAAGTGCCAGCTTGCTTTCTACAGTGGTACCACAGGAGTCTCTACACTGAGATTTTCCAGTTTAAAGGCTAAGAAAACACCCTTTTTGATGTATCTTGAACGTGGAAGAAACTTTTGGAAAACTACAATGGCTTAGGAGCAGATGTTTGGGTGTGGGCTATTTGAACTGTTTTTTCCCTGCTAGGTGGCTAATGCAGAAAGAAGCCAGATAGCTAATGTTACGAAGCCCAATATCACATCTGTATTTACTACCCTCTACATCAGAGGCTACACTATTTCTTTCTTTTTGTGGGGCATTCCAAATGGTTGTGATGTATTTGTGTAATGCATGCTGGGTATTATAATGAGAGAATATTGGTGGACCAAAAAAAACACAAATAACACACAAAATGGAGAATTTTTGAGGCTGAGGGATGCAGTGCTGTGCTAGAGAATATTACATCACATGACAAATAAAATGGCACATATTAGATGTTTTAACCAGTGAGTTAAATGAACATCTTAAATGTTAAGGTGGATGTGCTAACTGATATTGACAGCTGGTTTTCTGGACACAGATTAAGCATAGACATAGACTAAAAAGTATGTTCAGTGGAAAATCCCCTGTGCTCTTTCACAGAACGAGAAAAGGCAGGGACTTACAGTAATTCTGCTTTTCTTTCTTATCCCTAAAGTACTGCATCAAGGCTGTGAAGCCTCATTTTGTTGGACTGCAATCAGCTGCAAGTTATAATGAAGGGATTGGGAGTTAAGGGCACAGATAACCCATGAACAGGTAATCTACAGCACGCCACATCGACATTTTATCAACCGTGCTTGCACCTGCAGAATAATGGTGTCCCTACACTACAACAACCCAGCTTACTAGCTTCAGTCAAAGATGAGGATTCGAGTCAGCAACTTGGACTTCAGTCAAATGTTGACCGACTCACGTCCTGACTCGGACCCGCCCTTAACTGACTCTCAACTCAATTCGGATTTAAGACTTGTAAAATTTCAGCCTAAAAAGAAAAAACAAATTGTAAAATTTCAGCCTAAAAAGAAAAAACAAACAAATTGAGTGCACCAACATTTATGTGGCAGATGAATAAAAACTTCATCTGCCTGATATGATATGTGTAACTTTGCCTGTCAGGGTTTCTACGACCATGTGCAGTCATTACTACAATGCCATTATTCTGCAGCTCACAGCAGTGTCAGGTTTGACAAGGCTTTAAATAATGAATCTTTCATTACAGGAAAACATTAGAAAGTGTACTAGCTAGCGCAATCTGGCTAAAGTTTTAGTAAGTTACATTCTTTAAAACATATTAAAACTTCAGCTGGGTTAACTATTATAATGGTTAGCTAGAATACTTGTGAAACCAAAACTGTTTTAAGTTGTTTTGCCTCTTTTTTTTAAATACTACTTTCACTGCATGTTGCACTTCAGTTGTGTCCCTCAGACTGAAGATTTTTCTAGAAGTATTTTTTTTGTTGAACCTGACATGTACTTAGTTGGCATTTACTTTTGCACAGTGCTATGCCTGCCGCAAATAACAAGACTTAACTAAATTCTCTTCTAAAGACTTGAGACTCAACACGCATACCCCAAGTGACTCAACACTCAATTCGGACTCACAGGATGCAACATGTGAACATCCCTGACTTTTGTACAAGTTACCCCTCAGACAAATGCAGATGAGTCTACATTAATGATGGGAAAAGAAATTGGGGAAACTCATATGCGCAGAGTCACGGTTTTAGGGCTTGTCTGCAGCCCTGACCATGAACTAAAAATGGGTCGGACCAGACACCCCTGGGTTACTGCTGGAATCTCAAGGTCTCTGTCCACAGCGGCATTTTACAGGAATAACAGGGCAGGAGGCTGATACAGACAGCCGAGCCTTTGCTCAGGTATTTGGGAACCCATTGTCTCCCACCCCCTCCAGGCAGGAGCTGCATACTTGCAGCAGAATGAGCAAACAATCTGGCCGCAGTGCCTCATAAGTCTCCCTCTAGATCAAAATAGCATTCCCCTGAAAGAAAGAAAGATATTTCTCTAAGGTTGGGCAGGGAAAGTGGGTGGCCTCAAGCTTCAAGCAGATGAGGGCCCATGTACCAAATCTGTAAGAAAAACCCGCAACCGTCTTTACATTTGAATGCCACGCCGGCAAACCCTGTAATTTTATTTGCCAGCAGCAGCAGTAGCAGTGGCCTCTAGACAGTTCCCTGTGCCACTGCAGTGCTGCTGCAGCAGAAAGGCTTAGCCTTGAAGCAAGAACACTGCCCATCTCGCACTCACTCCTGCTTCCCTGGGGAGCTCTGCCACAAACCGCTCCCCACAACACATACACACGTTCACCCACACCCACTCCCTACAAACATGAATAAATAAATATGTCCTGCACACCCCCAATCCCTCCCCAAATAGCAGACACCAGCATCGATGGCCTCTTCGTGCAATCTGAAATACGTTTAGTTTTGCAATTATCAGCAAATGGTGAAGCTCTTCGCTCCCAGCTTTTTTCAGCAAGCTGTCATTATGTACAGCATTTTCATTGGTTTAGTAGAGTCCCACATATATACTATGCAAAAAGCTTAATTTACTATGTCAAGTGCTCCATCTCTTCAGCCGTACCAGAAACAAGCATTTACCAGCAGTGTTTCAATTCAATTCAGAAATATATTTAGTATGCGACTGTGTATGTTTCCCTGTACATATCTGTATATATATATAATATATATATATATATATATATATATATTATATATATGTATATATATATGTGTGTATATATATATTGTTTTGTAGTTGCAAAAACATCTGAAACTAGAGGGCACAAGTAGAAGTTACACCAGGCCTGAAGCAACTCTTGGGAAAGCTCCACCGGAAAAGATTGTGTTTCACTGTTTTTTTTTTACCTACTTCGGAGATGCTGAGAGAAGACAGTAAACTGCAGAGAAAATCGGACTTGCCTTTGGCTTTACCATTTTCATTGCTTATTCTCTGCTCAGACCAAGACCGTGATTGGCCAGAATGTTCTCTAATCAAAGAAAAGAAAAATCAAGTTGAGATACCCCAGCCGTCAACCAACACCCCCACCCCCCCACCACCCTTGGGCGGCCCTTGCGGGAGAGTCCCTCCAGGGCCCTGGCTAACATATCAGCCCTATTTCTGACTCCCCGGGGCGTTCGGAGAATGCATGTTAAAGGGGCGGTGTGGAGGAATGCCAAGGCACCTCAGTTCATCATGCAGCAAAAAGGGATCCGCGTTGCTTTAAGTGCTCTCATGTTTCCATGGCAAGAAAACTAGAGAAAAAAAATAAACAAAACAAGATAAAAATAGAAACTATGACAAAAAAAAAAAAACGGAGACCATCAAGCTTACGTTGGCTCAGACAGAAAAATAGGTAAGGATAAACACGCATTCTCTGCATAACTCCGTGCATCCCTTTTAACCATACAGGGGGCTCTGAGGTAATAAAAAATATCACTTCACTGTATAAAGCTGAGAGGACATCTGCCATCCATTCCAGTGTTTCCCCCTGTCCTGGTAAGCACCCGAGTAAGGTGAGGAGACTGGCAACGCCTCCAAATCCAGAAGCGATAATATAAAAAAGAAGAAGCAGCAAAAATGGCAAATACATAAGTTTAACAAAAAAAAAGTTTAGCTATCCAAATATACATATATAAAGACAGAATAAATACTATTGTAGTGATATTCTTGCAGTCTCTTTAGTTTCTGTGGGTACGTAATTATGTTTTCAAATCTCTCATGTGAGAGAACATCCAGATGTGCAAAATGAGAGAGCGCTACTGCCAGCCTTGTTCATATTCGGGGGAGGAAGTGAGTGACTGTCATGGAGGTGCTGGCTTTGTTGCCTCTCTTCACTCTGCCGTGTTTGCTGAGAGCAATGTAGAATCCCTTGTAAACGGAAGACTCATAGGCATTATAGTTATTTGGCAGCAAGGTCTCCTTGAACTTGCACTCAGATTTAAAGGTACGCTGAAAAGAAAGAGAAAAATGACATCAGAAACAATGACATGTAGTGCAAAATACAGTTGCAGATAAGGGCATGCTAGCAAAGCAGTTACATGCAAGTTTAAGCATACAGTGGCACTTTATTTGCTTCCACAGCTGGGATTATTGGAAAGACTGTGTGAATCCACTACTCCTTTACATTCCCCTTCCATAGACATTATTAGTAATAATACTCTAGAAAAGCATTTTTTAATAATAATACTTTTAAAACAGCAGATTATTTGGTTTGCATGGCCATCCTTTCCTGTGAAAAAGCCAAGTTAGAATTAGATGATTCCCCTTCAGAGAAGCCCTAATGATTTCTATGAACTGAAAAAAGTCTGTAATTTTAGTTCTTTTTTATTTATTAGAAGCATACTTGTTGCATTTAAAATAATCCAATCAGGATTTCTTTCTCCAGGGAATCTAGGTTGATATAGCCCAATGAGCTCCCTTTGGGAGCTGAACTGAAGGCCTGATGTGTCAGTTTAACTGCTAACATAATTAAGAAGTGATAGTGGAATCAACCAACAATGTTTTGGTTTCCAATTAGTGAGACGCATTTTATGAGAAAAAAAAGGTCACTATAGGCCTTCTGGATGTCCTAAATATGTTACTGTCTCTGAATACAAGTGGTAGCTTAACTAGTGCGTTTCAGTCAGATGTTATAAGTCGGTGTGGAAAGGAGTGCCAACTCTGTGCCATAACATCTTAGTATAAAAAAGATTTATCCTGTTGTCCTTGAGCCATCTTTTCACTGTCTATAAATTTGGCTTCTAGTAAAGTAATGGGGAGTCAAACATGCCTTATCAAAAAACTACAGGGAGCAGGGTGCAGGTTTCACAATGCTCCACTAGAGCTGTTTCGGATACTGCAAGCCTGCTGATTTTGTGCTTCTCCTAGCAGCAGAACCTGTACTGACTGTGAGCATTTCCCTTTGCATGCTAAAGTGTTACTTGGGAGTATTTCTGAGCTACAGCATTAAATATTTGTCATTTTAGGACCCTCTATGTGAATGAAAGCAGATTTCTCAAACCTGCTCTCTTAATTTCAAGAGAGGTCAGATTAGTAATGAGCTCTTTAAAATGTTTTTATTACCTCATTTTAAGTGCCAACTGACTATTATTAAAAACATTAACAAAGCTGCTGTGTTTGCACAAACAGCTGAAGAGAACTTGTTGAATAGCTACTCCAGTGCAATTGTCCATTCTTCACTTAAAATCTATTTTCCTGATCTTCAGCTCCTGGCTTTGGTTGTTCTAATTCTCTTTTGGCTTGGCATTAGAAACTCACAGTAGCATGGACCATCACTGAATTGCACAATTAAAGAAAGACTTAAGCTTACAATAGCAATGCAATGTGTCTTGGTTTTGGGCCTGGAGGATCCCCTGCACTGCACATTTAAGCACTTTCTCTACTCTCAACTCATGATTAGCTCAAGTGTGTCACAGCAAAGAAAATACAAAAATGTCCAACGCATGGGGATTTCCAGGATCGAAAGCCACTGCCCTACAGCTGTAAACTTTCATCATCACCGTACACACCAAGTACACAATGATGAGGAATACGTCGGCACTGGAAGAAGTTGTGGATACCTTTGTATGAAATTGGTTTGTTGTCTAATGAACCAGATATATTAGGTCACCCAGTGCTCAGGTCAAACAGAGATCAGTTCAAACCCTGGTAGACCTGTCCTAACTCCGACGTGGCATTAGCATAGACTAATTGCTGACAGCTCATGAACTGCCCATAAACCTTTTCAGCTGCTGGCTTCTTCTTGTCCAAATATTTGACAGCATCCATGCATGGAAGCTGCTGCTCAGTGTGCTGCACACTGTCAACATCTGCATGCAATCACATCACTGCAAACTGCAGCACCCCATTTATATATATGCATAAATTATTCACGGCAGCCCACTTGTGTTGTTCTCTATTCAGGGTCTTACTGAGCTCTGTTATTATCAGGCAATTAAAACAAGTGATGAATAAGCCACTATTAATCTTGCATAACATCTCCAGTTTCAGTCAGGCACATCAGTGGCTTTGATGCTGGCTGGAATGGGAGCACAGTTGCGCACACCTACCGTTCCGTACAGCCTTCCCCTGCTGTTCATTGCGACAAAGAGCTCGCTTTTCACGCCGTACAGACTAACCACCCCTCGCTCCACTGTGGAAATCTCTATCAGACCTAATCAAACAGAACACCGTGTTATACAGAATGAGCCGGCTCCGGCTGACACTGGATCAATGTGAAAGAGGAAACAAAGGCATGCAGCGGTGGGTGGAACCTCGTAAGGTGGCGATTCGGGATGCACGGCTTTGTTCAACCCCCTCCCCAAAAAACACATTCATATCACAAACGAATATCTCTCTCAAAGTGCACTCGCAGGCGTGCATGGCGAGCCTCTTTTGGGACGCAGAAGGGGTCGGTGTAAAAATAAGTTGGCGTCTATATCCGTCCATGCATTCATGTCATGCTTTAGCCAGGACTGTTATTTTGCTCTAACAAATCCGGGGCTTTTCTTTCTTACTTACTTACTTTCTTTTTTTAATAGGTTTGTCTTTGCTTATGACATACATTCTACCTACTCAAATGTATTAAAACGTGAAGAATACTAGGCATAGCAAACCAAAGCGCTCGAGTCGCCGTTACTTGCCACACAGGGGCAGGACCGTGTGTCATTTTACTGCGTTGCATTTTTTTTTCTCTGCATGGAACTCACTGTACTGGTTCTCATTATGTGCACCGTTTATCCGGCCGTCCGGCAGGACCTGGAGGTGAAACCCGATGCCCACGTTGCAGTACAGCCTCCGCACTCTCTTGATGCCCAGCAGATAGTCGCTCTCCCAGTTCAGCTCCGCTCTTTCGCCTGAGATCCCCAGTACGGAGCGGGCGAACAGGCTCTCCCAGCGCCTCTCCAGTGAAGTCCCATTAGTCGCGCCCGCCGCCAGCTCCGACGCCGCGAGCCCGACAAGGAAGCCCAGGAGAAGGAGCGTGGTCGGCGGCCAGCGCGCCTCGGCCTCGCGGGCCATACTGACGGGCGACCTTTGCGCAACGGCCGTCCGGTTTGCCTTGGGGGCACGTGGTCGCGATGAATGGCCCTAAAAATACCGCTCTCCTTGTTTTCCTCCCTTCGGCATGGCGGCACGCGCTTATTTTAGCGAGGCAGAGCGGACTTGGGAGCATGAAACAGGAGCCCGGAATGGGAGAGAGCGCGGCGGAACTAGTGCTGCTACTGTTGCTGCTGCTGCTGTTGCTGCTGCTGCTGGTGCTGCTGGCGCTGAGAGCGGGGATGAGCATGTTGTGCAGCTCTGCGCCTCTCGCATTGAATGCCGGCCGTGGAGAGTTATTTCGCCCCTCTTCACCGGAGACCTAGCGCGCCGAGCGCCAACATCTCCATCTGTGACATCACTCTGACTTCAGCAGTGGCCCGCAGGAAAAAGTAAAGAGGAGGGGAGGGGGGGTGCAAGGGGAGAGAGATAGAGAGATAGGGAGAGAGAGAGAGAGAGAGAGAGAGAGAGAGAGAGAGAGAAAGAGAGAGAGAGAGAGAGAGAGAAAAGTTGCAAGGCAGCAAGTAGATTTGGCCAGCACTGCTCGTGGCCGCTCTGCTGGGAATCGGTGAATGAAACTGCGCTTATGGGACGCTTTTTGGAGCGAGCGGTTGATGCGACGGGACACGCTGGCAGCAGCGTCCAAATTGGGACGATGGTCATATGCCTAACAGCCCGCTTCCTTATTTAGAAGGAAGGTGTAAAAAAAAGCCATCCAGTTGTCACCGGAGAGGCAGTGGCACTCCCCTGCGTGTCTGGCGCAGGAAGTTTACACAACGGGCCCGAGTCGATTCGGACGGCCCACGCTCGTCTTTGCGCAGCGAAACTGGCAGCGCGGCACCCACAGTGGTCCAGAGACCCTGAACATGACCTCGGGTTCGTATGGTAAGGGAGCGCAGACAGGCTGTCCTCAGGCTCGGGGAGAACGAGCGCGTCGCCAGCTACACCCGCGCGTTCCTGCGGGAGCAAACGGAACGCAAATCACGCAGAGACGCTGCTGCTGGCGCACGAACGTCCATTACACCATAAAATACAGAGATGATGTGTAGTGTTTAGTTCGCAAGCAGTTAACATGCTTCATATAACAAACCACTGAGTCAAGACTGAGGTGGGCAAACGGTTGTTATCCGGCTCATAAGCGCCCCCCCCCTCGCCGTACACCTTCATAGTGAGAGAATAACAGTAACATGATTACACAGGGTAACACTTAACAAACGTTAGAAGTAGGGGCAGCGAGGTAGGTTGGTAGTTTTCACTCTTAGTGCATGTCCCAGACATACCATTCATTAGGATAACCCAACCAGCAGCAAGCTGCACATCTTAGAAAAAACGTCACTCTGTCAAAGTCAGAGAATATTTTTTAGAATTACTGCATTCTTAACCAAATTTATGTTGTGCACTTGCATAGTATGGGCATGGTTGGCACAACGTAGAAAGGCTGTAGTTTAAAAGAATGAAGCAACGCATAGAAATAGTAATAAAGTTAAACCAAACCATAAATATAGGCAAAGCAAAGGCAACCAAATCCCATCTTTAAGTCATTTAAACGTTAGGAATGCTTCATTTAGTTTGGAATTGGCTTGGATTGAAGAACAATAAGAACAACATAATAAGCAAAAGAAAACTTTACCCCTCTAAAGCTCTGTTTTTTTCCATTACCTTGTATTAAAACAAGTGAATTCTAAACATACTTTTCTTAAATATTGTCTTATGGAAATTAAATATAAGAAAATAAAAATAAATGTAATCTTTTCATTTAAAAAATCATATTTAAAGTATAAACAGGTTGAGTTCAAACTTATGTGATTGTCTCGTTAAGAGACTTTCTGATCATGAAATGGTCCAAATTTTATAAGTAAGAACAACTTGTACCAAATTTAATGTAAATTTACTATGAACAGTGAAATAGTACAGAATTTTAGTTGTGCACTTAGTTGTTGTTGTTGTTGTTGTTATTGAGTATGTGTGCAATGTATGATAAAAAATGCATGTTTGTGACAGCAGTCCTACACTTTGGCAGGCTGACACGTCAACCACACCCACACCAAGACACAACTCTGTATTTACTATATACTTTAGTATATAGCTATCATTACTTATCATTGGCTTTCAGTTCATATTTTAAAATCTATCTGATTGCCGGTTCTACTAAGTAAAATTAATGTATTTCCAATATCTCTCCTTAGAGCTTTTCTATCATTTACATAGGGATATACTTTTCTGTTTTTACACTGAAAAATAAAAATATTAACCCCAGCTTAACAGATTGTAAAATTCAGCTCTTGATAAAATAGATACATGCTGATCAAAAGGGAAATTATGTTTGTTACAATTTTGTTAGAGTTACTCCTACTGACCCAGGAGTTAACACTGTGTCAACCAGCCTCATTCATTTCTATAACCCATGGCTAGAACTGAAGTACAAAATGTCATTTGTGAGAGTGGAGTGCTCACAGTAGAGTCTAACTGCAGCCTGAAATCAAGAAGAGCAGAGATATTAATGTCTCAAAGTGTTTGTGCCTGAAAGGCTAATGCATTAAAGAATATATTTGGATCCACAATTAGTGGGTCTGCAAAGGTAAAAAGCAGAAAAGCATGAAGAAAGTATGTTGGCCCCTCAGAGAAACTGCCTTGAATGGCAATAGGCCATCACATTGTTAGCATGCGCTGGTGTAATTTTAGTCATATGTTGTAATATCAGCAGTCTTAGAAATGATGTAAGAGCCCATAGGGGACTATAATGACAGTCCAATTGGCAGACTAAGCCTTAGATCAATAGTTAAAGAACACCAGAGTGAAACATTTCAATAGCAGTGTTATTCTGCTGAGTAATGCGACTGTGAGGAACTGCCTGGTTTGCAACTTGCTGTTTCACTGTCCGTTTTGTTGGAACTCTGGTTTCACAAAAATGGTCAGACAAAAATAGGACTATCTGCCAAAAATCACAAGAAGTGGGTTTGGCATAAAAAAGAATACAGTTAGAGTAGTGATGTGAAGTGTGATGATGTATGGTGGTGGATCTATGACGTAGTTTCAAATGTTCTGCAAATTAGGATACACGCAATCATGGACTCTGCAAAATTACTGAAGATTTTAGATCAAAATCTTAGACTAAGATTAGGTTGTTGTTTCGTTTTGTTGTTTTTCAGAAAAGCTCTGAATTCGTGCTATAGTGGTTTATTGACCTATGATGAATTAAACAAGTGCAGTGTACAGACCAGTCCGCTAACCTGAACCAACCACAATGAAAATGAACAAGCTGAAGACTGAGACACAAAGACAAAAGTCATAGGCAGCCATGAAACTTGTATATAACAATATATCTTGGCATTAAGTGTGTTTTTGCCTGTATAGGGGACCTCAAACCTGAACCATTTTATTTTATTAAAATAAATGATTGAGCATTCATTATTAATATCTTGGTTAGAAGAATATAGGTAGAAGAACGCAGGTTTGGTTTCTGACTTCTTGCAGCATTCTAGCCATTACCTGGATTTGTTAAATTCCTTCAGCAGGACAGCTGATTTTAATTTAATGAAGGATTGATTAGATAAACTAGATACTGGATGTTGACTCAAATACTGGAGGTTCCTCGAGGAGAAAATTAGAAACGGTTAAAATCACAGTGTGTGTGTATGTATACAAATGCACACATTTGTATACATTTGAAAGCACTCTGCAGAAGGTAGTCAACTGCCTTTGATTGATGTTTCTGAAACCTAGACCTAGTGTATTGTTCACATCACATTTGTTCTGGATCAGTTTCTTTTTTGTCTGTTTTAATAGCATGAAAATGCTTAGAAATAATGTAAAGTATTATATGATCTGGTAGCAGAAGATATAGATGACCTAGTAGATTGCACATTGTAAAATATGTCCTTTCAATACGTGTGGGGAGGGGAGGGATAAAATGCATGCACATTGATAGAACTAGGTCGGTCAGCAAATATTAAGGCTAGAGGCAAAGCACAGGAGCCAATCCTATGTGGGACAGTGAGGAAAGCAGTCACCAGGAAGCATTTTGTTGAAATCTTTGAAGGTGCCAGAGAGAGATAAAAGGCACTAAATTGTGTTTTCTCTCTTTATCCACATCTCTCCATGACTCTGTCTAAACATATACAAATTAGGAGGTTTTGATTAAAAAAACTAAATAATGAAATTAGTCAAAACATTGCAGTTTGGTAAAACAATGTCTTGGGCATCAGGCATCATACACATTTCATGTGTTAACTTTCTGTGAGGTAGCTTTTAGAGGCATTAAACCCATGAAACATCTGGTTCCTTCAACAACCACTGTGAACAATTCTGACTTCATAAGTTTCTCTAGAGCAAAGCATTTCACATCAACCCACTCTAAATGATGATTTAGATCCAATTTACATCTGATTTACATCTGAACGGTTTAATGATGCAGAGATTTTGAAAAATCTGTGAAATTCACTTTTAAGCTGTCCTCAGACTAGAATGTCCACATAGCATACTAGTCATGGTTGTTGAATGCAACTTGAAATCCGAGGGGTGTGAGGAGCAGTGTCATGAATGTTACTTTTGTCTTTGGTCAGCTGTTTCTTTCTGTCCATCTCATACACACACACATATGTGCAGTGTGACGCCCCAGGCACAATATAATTCTAAACTGTTAAGAGTGACATGGCCATACCACAAGGCTTTGTGCATCGGAGGAGTGCACCAGTGTGAGTAACTGGATCTACTGTGCTTTCAAGCCTTTTCAATTAGGTTTTTATTAACATAGCGTTAGACAGTATAGTTACAACAGCTGGGAAGAGCCAGTAAGAGAGGAGAGCATTTCTCAAGCATGACATAAGTACCATACATGTTCATTTAACATTTAATACACAGTCTGAATTCTCCACGGGAGGGCAGCTGTGTATGCATGTCTTTTGAACAGAGCCTTGCTATGCCTTAGTTTAATGGACAAAAAAACATACTAATAATGAATTAAAGGGGTATTCCGCCATTGTCAAACATTTCTACATAATTCAACGGTTCAGATATAAACAAAATCATTTGGCATGGTTTGATGTGACATTGTGCCTTGTATACAAACTTACCGACTCTGATTTATTGTGGTGACAGAAACCAGATGTTTCGATATCTACAAATAAAGCCATTTTATTTGCTATTACAAACCATCGGCTACACGTGTCTTCTACAAGAGTGTGTACTCATGTGTCACAGACTGACTGAGTGACTGGCTGATACCAATTGTTGAAACATGCATGTGTAATTGTTGCAAAAAATGAAAGAAATTAAGGAAATGAAAGAAAGCCAAAAAATTCATTCACTGAAACATGTCATGGGTCTTTGAGCTTGGGTGGTATTAGACTTAAGTTGGATATTCACACTGTGCATTATAAGCTGTGTTGTTTAGCATTTTTTCACTCTCTCAGGTAAGGATACTCATTAAGTGCTAGCACATGACCATTGAGAGCACCAGAATGTAAAGGGAATTAGTATTTTGATATGTTGATTGCTATTTTTAGAAATATGCTTTTGAAAAGAGTTTGCCAATGTAATGTTAGCTAGCTTGAAAGCTATGATGTTAGTACTATAAGCCAACATACCAGCAGCGAGAGAATGAGTGATTGCATGGTCAGAGATTGTGGGTGCTACGCTGGCGTGCCTGCAGTCCGGACCTGTCTCCCATTAAAAACATGCGGTGCGTTATGAAGTGCAGAATGTGACAACAAACCTGTACGGTTGCACAGCTGAAGGCTTATAAGGGAAGAATTTCATACATTTTCACTTGGATCATGAGATCAATTGGTCAGTTCGATCGATTTGCTTGGATCAAGCTGGATCAACTAATGTCTTCATTAAATACTGATTAAAAGACAGGTGATGTAACACAATAGTAAACATAGCCCTGTCCTAACTGAAGGTAAAACAGACAAACAAATATCATGTTTTTGTACTGTTTTCAATTTAATACATTTCAATCTATTCACTGTTTTCTGTTTTTTTTATTATCAATTCATGTACTTTGTTGGAATTGAGGTTTGTGTCTGCACAAAAGAATGAGAGAACCAGTGTGCTGAAAGAGAAAGGTAGTTTGTACGTAAAATAAGCAAGATGAATAAAAGGCTAACGCAATGGTTTTGAGAATATGGACTATATTCCAGATGACATAACTGAACCATAATTCT